AATAGCACAGGCCAGAGCCTGGGATGAATGCTCAAGGGGCACCCATTCAAATACCCCCATTCTTGGGCTGGTGAGATGGCTCAGCAGGTAAAGGTGCTTGCAGCCAAACTTGATCGCCTGAAAGATCCATCGCTGGCATCCTCAAGGTGGAGGGAAAGAAGGGCTCCTGCCAATGCACTGTGTGTGCTACTCACTTCATTACTCTATAAATGAATAAATAAGACGAAAAAGGACATATCCAGATTATTGTGACCAAGGACAGTAAATTGCACCAAAGACACATGGTTAGAAATAGTTTATTAAGAAAAGGAGCCAGGTGTGGTGGCACACTGCCAGGCAGTGGTGGCAAATGCCTGTAATCCCAGCACTCAGGAGGCAGAGACAGGCAGATCTCTATGAGTTCGAGGCCTACCTGATCTACAGAGTGAGTTCCAGGATAGACAGAGCTACATAGTGAGACCCTGTCTCAAAAGAGAGAGGCAGAGAGAGGAGGAAGCACCCTGAGAATGAGAGTGGGCTACTGAGCTGAGCGAAAAGCCACACAAACCTTGGGTCCCAGGCCCATTATAGAATGCTTACACAGCATCCACCACTTTTATTATTTTATATATACAGTGGGCCTTTCTCATGCATGTTCTGTTAGATGAAGCTAAGATGGGGAAGGCTCTCCAGTCTATCTTTGGCAACTGGCTTCCTTAATGTTAATTTTAATTTTTTTGTTTTTGTTTTTTCAAAACAGGGTTTCTCTGTATAGTCCTGGCTGTTCTGGGATTTGCGCTGTAGACCAGGCTGCCCGCAGACTCACTGAGATCTGCCTGTCTCTGCCTCCTGAATTCTGGGATTAAAGGCGTGCACCATCAACACTTGCAAGAAGAGCATCTTTGAAAGTGGAGGTAGAGGGTGAAGCAGGCCCCAGCCTTCATGCCCTCTGCTGGTCAGTCTGCTACTCACAGGCCTAAAGGTTTGAGGAAGGGGCTGGGGTATGGGAGAAGGGACAGGAGGTCATGCCCTATCCTGTGTCTCCCAAAGGCTGAGATGATGTGTGAAAGTTGGCCAGGCTGGAAGTTACAAAGGAAAATGCAGAAAATAGCTGATGCAAAGGTCCTGGGGCACAGCTGGAGTCAGTGTCTGGGCTGGAAAGGAGGTACCATCCTGGGAAGAGAGGAAGCCAGAGCCACAGGGGAAGGCACTGGGTACCTTCCCATTACATGTGCATGTGTGTGTGTGCGTGTGTGTTTGTGTGTGTGTGCGTGTGTGTTTGTGTGTGTGTGTGTGTGTGTGTGCATGCACGCCCTTGTGCACTTGCAAGCGCATGTATGCATATGTACACAATAGATGCTTCTAGAGTCCTTCAGTCCCTGGACAGGAGAGGACTCTGACTTGTTCAAGGGCTTAATGACTTCCTCCAGGAACGTATTCTGCTTATTCACTCTTTCATTCAACAAACATTTCCAGAGTTCAGTGGGGTTAGGCTGAAGCTGGGGTTAGATTTGGTCTCTGACCTGTAGACAAGGCTGGATGGAGACCAGGGAAGGCTTCCTGGATGAGGTGTCAACCAGCCAAGAAAACAAGTCGTTCAGCTGGCCTGGCTGCAGTGCTGGACCAGGGCTGTACACTGAAGACAGCGGGAACCACAGCAGATGTGATAGCAAAGGCATGCAGCAGGGTGATCTGGGACCCCAGCTCCCTGCACTCCATCTTATGGACAAACTCAGGGGCCTCCCTCCCTTGTAGCAGGATTACCTTCCCCTAATCCCATGCACAGCTGCCTTTAACTGAGGGCCAGTGTGGAGGCACAGAGAGGCGTGTGCATGCGCACAGGTGTGTGTGCATGGATGTGTTTGTGCGTGGGGGGAGGGGTGGATGCATATGTGTGTCCTTACACAGATGAGTGTACTCACACAGGTTCTTTGAGCAAAGATGCGTGTGAGTCGCACACAGGTTGTGTATCGGGTCTGGATTTCTTCGCTAGCCCCCTCTCTCACTTCCAAGCAACCTTGAGCAGGTCACCTAACCTCTCTTGCTAAGTCTATAGGGACCTGTGCTAGGCTGTCCCACTGTGAGCCTGTCCTCAGGCTTCTCCACCCTGTCAGATACAAGCCTGGCACCTTCTACTCTTTTTCCACACTTGCACTGTGTAATGCTGATGAAGAGGTGGCGCTTTACACTGTGGGGAAACTGAGGCTCAGAGACATTAAGCAGTCAGTCAGCTCAGGACTTGAGGTGAGGACCTGGGACTTCAAGCAGGCATCCACCTTGGGGACACTCAGAGTCTCAGGATCAAGGAAGTCTGAAGGGATCATATACCCGGTCCCCATAGGAGCTGGCTTCATCTACCCTCTCCACACTCTACCAAAGCCAAATCCTGCCCAAGAAAGACACATTGTAGGCAGCCCCCATCCCCTTGTGACTGACACAAAGACCAGAACTCCTAAGAGGAGGCAGGAAGGGGCCCCAGGCTAGCTGGGCCAAGACACAGGCTAGGGAAGTGAGCAGAGACAGGAAGCTACACAGCTGGAGTCTGGGCCGCCATTGTCCACCTGGGGGTCGGCGCCAGCAGCTCTCTAAACCCTGCCCAGTTATGGACCCAGGTGCCTCCCTGACCCCTGCTGACTTCCTGCTCCTAACCTCAGTTTCCCCACTATAAGCCGTAGAGGATACTTGAGTGCAGCTGTCCCGTCTCAGCACATCTCCTGAACTGACAGGGTTAGGCTTCACGGCACCCTGTGCATCTTGGGCTCTGCCACCTTACTGTGACAGAGGTCCGGAGTTTCCTGTAGAGTGAAGCAGGGCTCAGACTCAGCCCAGCTACCATTCCAAAGTCTAGGGCTTCACTCACTGTTCCCTGCATAGGCCATCACTGACCAACTGCTTTCTTCTCATGAACTCACCTGAAAAGGCCACAGTCCCACCCAGGGACTTCTGGTGCTGTGATTAAGCCCTAGGACAGAGCTGGGCCCTAGGTAGAAAGGAAGTGTAGACAGATGGGTAGGTAGGTAGACAGACAGGCAGGTCAATAAACAAGCATAAAATAGACTATAGATTGCCAGGCAGTGGTGGTGCACACCTTTAATCCCAGCACTGGGGGAGGCAGAGGCAGACAGATCTCTGAGGCCAGCCTGGTCTACAGAGAGAGTTCAAGGCCAGCCTGATCTACACAGGGAAATCCTGGCTCGAAACACCAACTGCACACCACACCCCAAAAAGTAGAATGTAGATAGGAGATGACAGATATAGATAATAAATATAGATGGTAAATAATAGGTGATAAAAAATGTTAAAAAGATAGATGATAAATTACAAATAGCTAACAAATGATAGATCATACATAGAAAAATAATAGATAGGTAGATGACCAACAAACAGATACTTAGAGAGAACAAGCAAAGAATAGGCTGGGGGATGACTTAGTTAAGAGCACTTACTCTGCAAGCATGAAAACCTAAGTTCAAATCCCAGCACTGATGTAAAAAGTTGGCCATGACTGTTCATGCCTGTAACCCCAGCACTGTAGGACAGAGATGAATGGACCTCCAGAGCTCACAAGTCGGCAGCCTAGTCAAACAGCGAGCTTCCGGTTCACTGAGAGACCCTTTCTTAGAGCAATAAGGCAGAGCCAGTAGAGGTAGACACCCATCCTGCTCTGACCTCCTCATGCACACAGGTGTGTGCACCTCCACATGTGCCCATATATATTGAGTAGATAGATGATAATTAGATGGATAGGTAAGAGATGAGTGGATGACCAATGTCATTCTAGCATCTTAAAATTCATACACACCTGGAAGCTACCAGTACTCTTGTCACAGTGAGTGAGCCCCTGCAGTCCCCTTGCCTGCCCCTAGGAGCTCTTGGGCTGTGGTTGGAAGGTTTGGCCTTTCTCAGGCAGGCGTGGGTTTTCCTCCAGGGTAGCCTGGGTAGAGGATTTGTGGAAGGTGTAGAGCCAGAAGGCTGAGGCTGAGCCTGGTTCCTGTCTGTGGCCCTTGGGGTCCTCCCTCCCTCCCACTATGCTGAGCCTGGCTGTCATACACTCACAGAAGGCGACAGGGACAAGAGCACGTCTCCCTTCCAGGTGGGACGAGCAGAAACAGGAAGGACTCCAAAGGGAAGCAGGGGGAGGAGGAAGCGTCCAGGAAGCCCGGGGGGCCTCTGAAGTGGTGTCTTAGACTGGGCCAGACAGAGCCCTGTGCCAACCCTCCCAACTTGAGTTCAACACCCCATCCAGAGTGTCCTTTTACCCTGGGGCAGAACCTGGAGGGACCTAGTGGCCATGTTCCACCCCACGACAGAGTGTCAGAGGTTGTCCTTTGAAGTCCAACCCCAGACTCCAGGGTCTTAGGGACAAGGGGAGGGACTGGGCAGTGCCTGAGGGGGTCATTGGTCTCAGGAAGCCCATTGCCCTGGCAAGCACATCTGTGACTGTCCCATTCTCACACCAAGTCACCACCTCCACAGCAGCCAGTACAGTAACCTGCTCATTTTATTGAAGGTAAAGCTGGAAGGTCACACTGGACCTCAGCTCCCTGCAGCCACAGTGTATGGCTCCCAGTGGCAGAGGACACAGGATAGCCAAGGCTGGCTCTTGGAGGCTGTGTGGTCCACTCAGTAGCCCCCATCCCTGCAAGAATCCAAAGATCCGATCTCAGTTCTGCTCTCGCTGACCAGATGGGGATGACGGGAGGGGGGTGAGGAGTGAGAGTGGGGAGACAGATATGCAAGGTCAAGAGAGGGTGGCGGGGGGCTGGAGAGATGGCTCAGAGGTTAAGAGCACTGACTGCTCTTCCAGAGGTCCTGAGATCAATTCCCAGCAACCACATGATGGCTCGCAACCATCTGTAATGAGATCTGGTGCCCTCTTTTGGTGTGCAAGCATGCATGCAGATAACTGTATACATAATAAATAAAACCTTAAAAGAGAGAGAGGGTGGCATAGTACAACTACCCGGGGTGTGGGTGAATAGAGTCCCTGATGAGGTGTGTGGGAGAGCAGGGTGGGAACATTACCCCCAGCTCAGGCTCCGCTTGGCCAGCTCCACCTGGGCCAGCCGATGGTCGCTGAGTACCCGCACTCTGGTGATCGTGGCCAGTGGCCGGTGACGATGTGGGAACTGGAGTACCTTGTGTTCCTGGGTGTAAATGTGGAAGTGTTCTGCATCTGCACTCACCTCCATCTGCGGGGGCGGGAGGGGGGGCAGGGGTAACCCTGGGTCCCAGCCACAGAGGCCATCCCAGCTACTTGGCAAAGCAGAGTATGGCCTACCTGACCCTGAGTTCCCAGCTGGGGACCCCTCTTTTCTCCAGGGCAGGGAAATTGGCAGCCAGAGAGAGAAGCATCCCAGTGAACAAATATGGGAACCAAGGAAAGGGAGGCCACCCAGGCTCAGCAGGGAGGCCATTGCACCAACCCATGTAAATATCCATAATAGTCTCTTCTCCATCGGCCCTGGTACCCCATCCCCACCTCTCCTTCCTCCCACAGGCCCCATCACCTCAAAGGGCTCTCCCAGGGTCAGTGGGAACAAGCTGGACACTTCCTCCTGTCCCCAGCGTCCTCCCTGGAAGGCATTGCCTATCACGGTGGCGCTGGAGAATCGGGGTTTGACGTGGAAGGCGATGTCTCCCGAGTCAGTTAAGAAGTTGATTTCAAACCTGTGGGTGAGGAGTGTGCTCAGGGTCAGGAGTGTGGCTGGAGGGTCCCTACCATGGCCCCAGGAAGAAAGGGAGGCTCTTACTTGTCCTCTCCAGTATCTGCATGTCCCTGTACTGTCAGGCTCCAGCCTGGGGCCAGGCCCCCTGCACAGAAGGCTTCGAACTGAAGGTAAAAAAACACAGGGAACAGAGCCCCATAGACTGCAACCTCCTACCTCCCCTCCAAGGGTACTGTTTATTCAGGAGTACCCATTCCCACCCAGCCCAAGGCCTCCACCTCAGTGTTGCTCTGGGTGGGGTGGTCCAGAAACCTTACCCCCACAGTCCCTCTGCCTGGGGTCTGAAGAGAAGACATAGATGTTCTCCAGCTCTATAGTGGTAAGTAGGTGAACTGCTGGATGCCCCCACCCTTCCCCCTCCAACATACACAACCACCCATGGTGGTGGCTCTTACCCACCTGCAATGCCATTGCCCTCAGCCACTGGGGAGGACCTAGCTGCCTGCTAGGGATATAGCAGAGCTCGCTGGGGCGGGGCACAGAAGCCCCACCTCCGGGGGCTTTGTCTGGGTCACATGGACCTCTGTGCCCCATTTTCCTCTCCCCGCTCAGGCTACCCCTACTAGAGAGGGAGCTTGGAGCATGGCTTAGTGGCAGAGCTCTTGCCCTGGGTTCATTCTTAGCAGGGTCACTAGTCCCCTCAACACACTTCCTCAGGTCTGTCTGACTCTGATACCATGACTTGCACACATCTGGGGATAGATTTCCCATTTTAGTGGGAAGGAAATGATCAGGGTCTGCCCCCATACACTAGAGTCCCAAACTGGCCCACCTGTCTCAAAGGGTGAGGGAGGCATGCCCACCTATGGAACCCTAGCTGACCTTATGGGGTCTGTCTGACCATCCATCCACTGTCCACCATGCTGGGAGTGTGATTCCCCCTCCCACACCCCCCCTTGGGGGCTGCCCTGTGCAGTGGCTCAGTGGCCTCAAGGGGATGAATGGGGGATTAGGTTGGGCTCTGCTCAGCACATTCCAGTCCCCAGTCTACAGATGGGGAGGTCCTTTCCCACACCCCCACGCCCCTCCTGGCCGGCTGCCTCTTAGGCTGAGCCAATAAGAGGGGTCCGCTGGGGCCCTTGAGGCCCCCTCAAGGACAGAGGAGAGAAGCCCAAGTCTGTGGGGGCGGCTGTGGGGGCCTCTGGGACTCTCCAAGGAGGGAAGTTGGGCCAGAGTGCAGCTAGGCTTGGGACTACTGCCTGCAGATGAGTGTATAATGATCCTGCACCCCCTTCATCCTGTCCCCATGGGTCATCTCTACTACTATTCTCCTCTCCAGGCCCTGGCAGGGCTGAACCTCTGGCTTGCTTTGCCTCTTCCAAGGTGGTGCTGCATGGACAGTCTGGCATGGAGTGGTGGGTACCAAGGTCAGGCGGGACACAGAGATGCCTCACTAGCAAGGCAATACAGTGAGTGACCTAGTATTTCTCTACCACAGGGAAGGGCAGGGCTGGTTGTGCCTGCAGGGGGCAGCCAAGGGCAACAGAGGCTCCATGGGGGTGAGCCTGCTGGGCCTGCCCTGTCTCCCCCCATCCCTCATACCCCCCCCACCGCCTGCCTGTCTAGCTGCTGTGGGTGCAGAGTCTGCAGACCCTACACACTCCCCTCCCCAGAGGAACATGAAGAAGCCCCCTTTTGGTACTTATGTCAGTACAGTTTAGCACAGTCAGTAAAGTGCCTGCTATGCAAGCATGAGGACATGGCTTTGATGCCCAGCACTCAGGCAAAACACAGAACACAGTGAATGGCCTGTGCTGGTAATCTCAAAGCCAGAGAGACAGAGACTAGAGGATTCTGGAATTCTCTAGCCAGCTAGGATACCCAAATAGGCAAGCCCCAGTGAGAGACTTTCAAAAAACATAGACTCAAAACCCCTGGGTCACAGGGCCTAGTAGGAAGTTGCAGGTCAGCTCCATGGCTTCCCTGTTTTCCTGTCCGCTGTGTAGGGGTGCTGGGACTAGATGTTCATCTTAAATTCTCTGGACCTGCACTGCAGTGCTGGTCAGTGCCCAGAGCTCACGGTGAGGGAAGAGCCCCCAGCTGGGAGTGTGGAACACATTCTGACTCTGGCTACCTTGAGCCAGGGGCCTCTCTGGGCTTATCAGATTCACACTGGGCTTGCCAATACTGGCCTCACTCACTGTCCCTGTCCGTTTGGTGAGGAAAAGCGAATAAAGACAGATGCAGCTGGACAGGGAATCAGATTAGTCACCATACCTCCATCTTTTCTAGGATGAGAAGAATGCTGGTGTGGGCACCTTGTTCTCAGGGTCTGGCTGCTTGGAGACCCTAGATAGGAGTTTGAAGGAGGTCTGGGTATGGTGGGAGGCCCAGACCTGCTGGACAGGAGGCCCAGGTGCTGCTGCCTGGGGCAGGGAGGCCAAAGTACTTGCTTCCAGCTGTTTCATTCCTTTGTGAGCCTCCCTCTCTTCTGGTTTATGGAGGTTGTGCTGTAGGAGAACTGCCCACACCCAGTCTCCACAGCTCTGGAATACCTTGGAAGTCCAGGCCATTCTGAGGAGGTCCACTGTGCACCCACATCTGGGCTCCACCCCATGGTGTCATGCAGGCCTGTGTTCAGAACCCTCTGATCGGCTGGGACTTGTGTCCAGTAGGGTTGGGGCAGGAGACCGTGATAGCTCCTGATGACCCAGGCAGTTACACAGCCCAGAAGACAGAATGGGCCAAGGAGAGACCCAAGATGCACCTTGGCCTCACACCAACACCAGGTAGCCCATATCCTTCTCTGGCTGCCTCTGGCCTGGCCTGGTTGGTCTTGTGAGGCCGGATGGTGTGGTGGGCGGTACTCCTATGTGACATTCTATCCAGTGGGGCAGCTGCCATTCGAGGTGGTTTCAGGGCTGAGAATAACAGACCTGATATTTAGGTACCACTGTACCTCCTACCTCCGCCTCCACCCGGATGTGTGGTTTTGCCTGGAGCTGTTGACTTTGAAGGTTCAGAAGCAGGAGCAGGTCTCCACGCAGCTTCAGGGAGGAGCTATACCAGGATAGGTGATAGGTAGCCACCTAGGCCAAACCCTGCCCAGTGCATTGTGCTAGCTCTCCTTCTCTACTCTTTCTCTCCTTCTCTCCTCCTTTCCTTCTTCCTCTCCCTTTTGCTTTTCTTCCTCCTCTTCTTCCTCCTTTTCATATACTTTCTTTTTTCTTCTGTTCATTTGTTTTTAAGAATGCCCCTATGGGGAGCTGGAGAGATGGCTCAGCAGTTAAGAACAGTGGTTGCTCTTTCAGAGGACCTGGGTTCAATTCCTAGCACCCACATGGCAGCTCACACCTGCCTGTAACTCCAGTTCCAGGGGCTCTGACATCCCTATAGAGACATATATGCAGACAAAACACCAATGCACATAAAATAAAAATAAATTAAAAAAGAATGTCCCTATGACTTT